AATAGAAAATCAACAAGTAGATGGGTTCCTTCAACACTCTCTGGACAAAAAGAGGATGTAAGATCACTCAAGCTGTGTTCCATACAATTACTTCTTACAAGAAGTAAGCAGCCATCTCCAGAAGCAAGGCAAAGCAGCCATCTCCAGAAGCAAGGAAATTTGCCATATTTGCTCCAGCTGTAAATCAAGCAAAAATAAATAAATAAATAAATAAAGGAAGGAAGGAAGGAAGGAAGGAAGGATGGAAGGCATAAGTCCACACTTTTTTTGCTGATCACTTTCAGAAATTGCCTATTAATTGCTCTAAAAAAGTTAGATACCTTCAAAATATCAAGGTCGGAAACAGAGTGAATGAAAAAAATGGTAATCTTTGAGAATTTTAATAAATAGAAAAATGGAAGACAATGTTTTGGCTACAGAAAGTTTAAAATGGTTAAGGACTCAGAAAACATTAGATTTTGAAAATTAAGACTTTGAGATTCATTTTAAATAATAAATGCATTTTTGAAGGAAAGAAAAACTGTTTTTGATATTGAAGACTTAGCAAGGAATCTATGATGGCATTCAGAATCATTTTTCAGGCGCTGCATTAGGATGCTGAATCAATAATGTCCGCTGTGTTGTCTCTTTTTGGGAACAGATTGTTTCCAGAAGAAGAGACTATAGAAAAAGATATGCAAGAAAGTCTATTTGAGAACAATATGAACAAGAATTTGAATAAGGATTTGTCATTACACATTAAACATAAAAGAAAAATTTGAGAAGGAAATAAAAACGACAATCACAGAATAATTTCTTTTTACAGGACATACAAAGAAAGTTGTTTAAAGTTTTGAAGAAATTTGAAACAAGGATCAACAATCTTCTGAATGGATTGAAGAGCAAGATTGATTTATATTAAAAAAAGGAACATAAAGTTGGTTTATTTGATTAGGGTTAAAATGGAACATGTTATTTTGGATGGTTCTTTTCAAATTTGCTGACATCTGGACTGGAAAAATGTTCTGTACTGGGTTTGCTTACAGTTAAGGTGTTTAAGCCTTCTTCCCTAGAGTTTCAGTATCTATCCTAATCTGAGAGCATTTAAAATGACTTTGTATCAAACTGTCCTTTCATTTAAAGTAAGGTATATTTGTGAGCTTGTTCTCTTTAAGGGAGAAATTGTCCCTCTTTGTCATGTTAAATTTTATTTACTTTTGTTCATACCAGGATACTGGGACCACTTTATGCCTTCTAAATGTGCATTTGCTTACAGTTAAGAATCAATAATGTGGAATGCTGAGTTTTAGATCTGTTAATCAATGTAATCAATCTATGTTTGGGCTCTGTTTGGACTTTTTGCTGATACCTGGACTGGTGAAGAAGTTTCTTATTGGATTTGCCTAAAGTTAAGGCTGAGTTGTGGGGTGAAGTGTTTTACATCTGCTAATTAAAAAGAGGTGGTTTCTTTCTTGGTTTCTCTCTCTTTTTTTCTTGTATTCTTGCACCCATTTCTTTATCTTTTTTAATTTGTTTTTTTATTATTGTATTAAAACTTTTAATAAAATTATTTTAAAAAGTACTCCAAATAAGATCAAAGTCATGTTTTACTTAAATTGAGTTCCAAGCTATGTACTCTCTTAATGCAGACTTCTGAAATTGAGTAACTTCCAGATGTGCTAGGAATGTTGCTTGCAATGTTGGCTGAAAATTCTGCAAATATTTTCCACACATCTGAAGATTACAAGTCCTAGAAATGACTAGTTTCCATCATGGTTACATTTATGTCACAAATGTTATGCATTACATTACATTGATAAAAACATGGCTTTGAAATGGGACCTGCATTATTTATGAACAAATCTGTTTAATAAATCTTATGGCTATTAAATCTTTCCCATGGATACAAACGTTAGAACTCTAATTTCTCTACTTGTTGGATTTACTGAGTGAGATAAGGCAATCAGAACAATACTGGAAATTGCCAACTGCTACAACTTACAAACAAAAGTAGGCAGTCTATTGCTCTCTTGATGCTGGAAAGTATAAATACATAAATCATTTCTGTACAACCATTCCAATTGTCGTGCACCACCCAGAGTCACTTTTGGTGAAATGGAAAGCTATGCAAATTTTATTAATAAAATAAATAAATTTCTAATCTAAAACTTCTTGAACTCAAATTGTCCTCTCTTGAGTTGCATGCAAAACAGCTGTGTTGAATCAAGCCAGACTGCTTCAGGCATTTTGGAGCTGGTTTGAACTCAAGATACACCCAAACTTAGCAAAACAACTGTTTTGAACTTGCAATAGAGCTTTTTGAATTAGAAATTATTTAAATTCAAAATTCTTTATACAACACTGCTTGAAATTCTGTCTTCTACACAATTTTACTTTCTGTTACTCTGTCAAAACAAAGATGATATTAGGCACCGATGTGCCTCTTTTCAGCATATAGCTTTGGCACAGCAGAGCATCAGTGTCAGTATCTTCTTTGTTTCCAAGAGTTCCTACTGTGGATGATGGAGAAAAGTCTATTTTACCTTCTGGCTAATGTGTATTTTTACTGGCAATGTCCATTATGGCAGCCATTTTGTGAACATACATATCTTCATCCATTGGAGCTGTCCATCTAGGCTTTCATAAAACTTAGGTTCATGGGACCTATTTTACCCCTAGATTGTGATCACAATTTTCATTGCAAAACTCATGGATCCATTCCTTCTAGGAGTCGTTGGCCTTTATGAATGTTATACTGAATTTATTTTAAGACTGGAATGTTTACTTCTGTTGAATTACACAATGTAGTGTGGCCCCAGTAAAGTACACACAAATGCTAATGTGCTCGCAGATAGCACTTTTAATGGCCTTGAAGTTCCCTATGCCCTCTTTTTATTAAAAAGAAAATATTTTAACCAGAAAGGTGGGGAGTTGGCAAGTTACAAAGCAAAATCTTTGCTTCTGAACCCAAATGAACCTTATAAGCTTTCTTAGAAAATAAAATGATGGGTAGCTTCCTTATTTTGTTGAAAACTGAATAATCTGTTTTCTTTAGAGAAAATCAAGCAAGCAAGGGCAATAACAGGGTGAGGTATGGCTCGACAAGGGACTTTAATGCAGTGACTTTGTAAAGTACAAATTATTTTTGCCTTGAGAATAGCAATCTTTTGATATTACATATTCTGAGAAAATGGATATTCCCAAGGCAATGAATAAATTGATATTAAAACTAACAAGTAAAAAGAAAAAAAATGCTCCTGAGAAAAATTAGGGTCTTTAAAGCATAAAAGAAACATAAGATGAAGGGCAGGAAATTTCTGGCGTCCCTCATTGCCATTAATACAGGAGAGGCACTGGTGATTTTTTTTTTCCATTGCTACCTAATGCTGGATCAGTAGGAAAAGACAGAAGCAAATTCACCATCCATTGCCCTGAAACATCCTGCAATCAAAACTGTGAGACGTTGCTAAAGCTCAGCTCTAAGATGGCTTGCTTAAGGCCGATGACATGTCCTCACACCAGTGCCTTTACCTGACGGCCAGTCTGCCACTGAAGCAAATGCAGGGTGCTTCAAAGAGATCCAGAAGGAATGCATTAATTTCCATGAGAAATCAGTTCATCCTCCTTTGCGTCACCATCTGGATTCACGGGGAGGGAAGTGAAGGACCATCCCCTCCCATCTGGCCACCGATGTGTCTCCTTGGCCATTTCTCCTTTGGCTGCTGAAGACAGCAGAGCCTTGCTGGACAGCCAAGATGTTCTATTCTCTTTTTGGCTCTGCTGAATGCCAACATTGTGGAAGGTATTCCACAAGGTCAATATTCTTACTAGCCACCTCCAGTGCATCTGCAGTTTGGGGGGGGGGATGAAAACCCAATAAAAGCAGTGTTGCAACTTTGCAACTCAAACACTGCCCCTTTTCCATCTTGTTGTGATCCTGAAAATACGCAAAAGGGGTAGAGCCCGTGGCATGATGCTGCTCTTGCCATTCTTATAAAAAGCAGCCGAATCCTGCAGATGCCACTGACTGTCTTCCACCAAGATCTCAGCCTTTACTTCCACTGGTGCTGAAGAGAACTGCTGCTGCTGCCTCCCAGTGTCGTGGGGGGAGTTTTCCTTCTTCTTTGCGGTTGCAACCCTACCTTCTTATGTAGGCACAGTTTGGTTGGCCTTGTTTTAGAGACCCCCTAAAAGGACAGTTGTCCTCCAGTGGAAAGCAGGAAAGCCCCCAAGCCAAAGGTGTGGGGAGAGAGCCCTGCAGGGATTGCAGTCAGCAACCTTGAAAGGGCTCTAGGATTAGGGCGAGTGTCCCGGAGCTGTGCAGTAGAATGGCCTTCGAACATAGAACAACAGAGCTGGAAGGGACCTTAGAGGTCTTCTAGTCGAGCCCCCTGCTCGAGCAAGAACCCTATGCCATTTCAGAGAAACGACTGTCCAGTCTCTTTCTGAAAGGCTCCGGTGGTTCTGACAAGCCTCCGAAGAAGCCTCGCCTCTCAGCAGCTCTCTGCGTCGCCCTTGTCTCCCTCTCGCTCGCGGCGTAAGCTTAGGGCCTGAAGAGCCGGAAAAGAGGAGCGCTGCGCCCAGAGCAGGACGTAGCTGGTGGCGGGAGAAATCCCCGCCCGCCTCCTCGGGAAGAAGAGGCCGCAACCTGGGCCGCCTCCGCTTTTCCTTTCGGGCTTGGGAATGTTTTCCTTGGGTGACCCGCTTGGCCGCTCCTCCCGGCCGGCGCCCGCGGGCGGGGGTGTGCGGCGCGTCAGTCAGCTCAGCGGCGCGCGGGGCCGCTCCCGTGACGTCGCCTCTCCCGCTCGCCGCATCTTGCCGGCTGCGCCTCCGACCTCTCCAGCGCGCCCCTTCGGCCGAGGCGGAAGGCGAACACCTGGCCCCGAGCCCGGGTCGCCAGCCGCGCGCTTTCGCTCCGAGCCGCCGCGGCTCTGGACTTGGCCAAGGCGAGGGTTCTCTGAGGGACCGGAGGCAAGGACGCATGCCCGGCGTTTGCCGCGGAGGGAAGGCGTCTTGCCATGCGAAGGGGGGCTTCCCTGCTCTTGAGAGGAAGAGAGCCGGCCCGGTAAATATGGTCAGTCATGTCGTGGCTGGCTTGCTGGCTGGATGAACTCCAGCGGTTCTCGCTGCTCTCCTTGTTTACAGCCGCTTTGGCCGTCCTGGCCGTCTACCTGGTGCGGTATGGCCTGAGCGTCCTGCGGCAAGGCGGTGGGAAGCCGCCTCCCCGGCCGTCGCGCCCGGGACTCCTGCAAGAGGACGAGGGGGGCTCCCTTTTCGCCTGGCTGCTGTCCCTGAGCAGCTGGAGGGGCGAATGGCAGAAAGCCTGGGTCGCAGCGCTGAACAAGGAAGCCGGATTGCGGGAGGTGAGTGAATG